GGGAAACAATGTTAGGTTGATTTGCTGTATGACTTGGTTGACTAATTGATAAATCTCCAGTGGAACTTGGTTGATTTTTTGGTTTAGGATTTGTATCTTCCATGATGCTTTTTGGAGATTCAGTAGGTTTTGATGGCGAATCTGTGTGCTTGGAATCTGGTGGGGAACCCGTGAAACTTGGTGAACCTGTGGGACCTGATAGAGAATCCGCGAAGTTTGATGGAGAACCCGTGTGACGTTGTGAAGAATCCGTGGGACTTGATGGAGGATTTGTGAGACTTGGTGAAGAACCCGTGGGATTTGATAGAGAATCCGCGTGGTTTGATGGAGAATCCGTGCTTTGTGGAGAATTCGTGGAACTTGATTGAGGATCCTTGAGAGAGTCCGTAGGACTTGGTGGTGAATCTGTAGAATCTTGAGGACCCATGGAATCTGTGGGACTTGATGGAGGATCCGTGAGAGGGTGCGTAGGACTTGGTGGAGAATCTGTAGAATCTTGAGGACCCACGGAATCTGTGGGACTTGATGGAGGATCCGTGAGATTTGAAGAATCTGCAGGGTCTGTGGTGGTTGGATCTTGAGAGTCTGTAGAATCCGTAGAATGCGGATTTTTTGAATCTGCAGGGTCCGCAGACTTCGTGGGGGTTGAGTCTTGAGAGTCCGTAGAATCCGTAGAATGCGGATTTTTTGAATCTGCAGGGTCTGTGGGGGTTGAATCTTGAGAATCTGCTGCATTCGTAGAAATCGAATCTGAGTCTGTGGGCGTAGGTTCATCGACTACAGTTTTATCATTATTTTTATCTGTATTTTTATCTGTATTTTTATCTGTGTTTTTATCTGTATTTTTATCTGTATTTTTATCTGTATCTTTATCTGTATCTGTGGGACTGGACTCAGGAACAGATTTACTGGACTTGGAATCAGACTTATCGTTAGTTGTATCTGCTGTATCTACGGAAGTGGGCTCAGGGTCGGGCTTATGGTTAGGTTTTTCAGGGTCGGACTTAGGATCCGATTTATTGTTAGTTGTATCTGCTGCATCTACGGAAGTGGGCTCAGGGTCGTGCTTATGGTTAAGCTTAGGTTTTTCAGGGTCGGACTTAGGATCAGACTTATTGTTAGTTGTATCTGCTGAATCTACGGAAGTGGGTTCAGGGTCGGGCTTATTGTGTTTAGGCTCAGACTTAGGCTCATGGTCAGATTTACTAGACTTGTCGTTAGCTGTGTCTGTATCTACAGATTTGGGCTCAGAGTCGGACTTAGGGTCAGGCTTATCTTTAGATTTAGAGGGTTTAGAGTCAAGTTTATTGTCAACTATACTCGTATCTACGGAACTTTGTTTAGGGGGTTTATGGTCAGGTTTATCGTCAACTATATTCGTATCTACGGGATTGGACTTAGGGTTATGTTCCTTTTTAACTTCATCTTTGGGACTGTCGTCAACTATAGGTTTTTTCGCAGGGGGCTTAGGGTCGTCATCTTTGGTACTGGATTTAGAGCTGTCAAATATAGATATATCTAAATGTTTTGATTTATTCACAGTGTTGTCAACATCTTCAGGTATATCGGCCGGTAAGTTACCACGACGGCGCACCAAGAACGAGCTCTGCTCATCTTTTTCAAATTCAAAATCATTATAACCCTTACTCAATCGCGCAAACACAACCAGAGATAATCCAATGACCAAAAGCCATATTATGGATATTCGTATTGTGGTGACCATTAGTATTCTTTTAATAAACTATTATTTATGTTGTGATGATGTGAAAGTTTCGATATTTATGGAGGTAAAAATACGATAGTTTGGAATGATTACTGATGTATGATGAGTTGCTTTGCACTAAATGAAAGTAGAAAGCGCGAATTGATAGTTCGTTGCTGATACAGCGAACGGTAGTTGGCGGACCGAACGGATAGTTGCTGCATAAAGAAAAGTTTGTCCTCAAATAGTTGCAATAGCAGCTTTGAGGACTAATGGAATTTAAAGTCAACGAAGAGAATTTAGAGAACGAAGAACGGAATGGTAGGAAAAACAATGATTAATAAGGTAATTGCTAATTCATGATTGTTATTGCTGTGACTTGCATTACACTGGAAAGTGAATATCATAAACAATGCAACGTAGTAACCTAGTGTAGTAACATAGTGAACATATACTAATTAATGAACTTAATTAATGAATGATAGGTTCATGAGAACAAATTGTAAATATTTTATTTAGGTTACGTGGGTATATTAAAAATTTAATTTGAGCCTGGAAAACAAAAAACATCATGCCAATTCTGACAAGTAAAGCATCTTCTCTAATAAACATACTTTTACCTTTTATATAATTGAATAATAGCACAAAGATGAAATACGACACGCATGGATTCAAATGGAACATTTTGTTTATATGCGTGCAACCTCCAAGACAAATACATGCCTGCAATATAGTTTCGCAAGAACAATTCTGTATCACTTAAAAAAAAGGTAATAAAGTAATGGCTTAAAAAATCAACTTGAAAAAAAAACAACAAATACATTCTTACAATAAGAAAATTTCATTACACTATCGAGCCTTCGCGAAAGATTATATTTGCCAAGAAAGAAGTTAAGTAGTTTAGTTTCGAATTAATCAGTAACGATAATGATAGTCAGTCCTCAACGTTAATAGATGATAATTTGTCAGGAGATTAACGCCCTATTAGAAGTATTTGTTTCACGATATTAATACGTACGTACGTACAATTATTGATTGGTCTAGGTTGTATATAATCTCGTTTTTATCTCGTCCTATAGCGACAATTATGGCTAAAAACATATTCAAGGGGAGGATAATTGCTTACCTCAACATTGTACAATTTTTAAAAAAAATTTATGTGCTTTAATATCCGGACGAGTTGTCCGTTTAAAATATAATTAAAAACAATTGGGATCTAAGAATATATAACTTCATTTCGCGAAATAACGTCCAGGAGTGCATGGGTGTAGTTTCGACCTACACTAAGGGGGTGTGTTTATTACGTAATTTCTTTTTATTAGAAAACCATACCCTTCCTTCTCAGGCGACAAAATCAGCAGCAAATCGTGATATTTATACGTAATACGTATATAGATGTGATAGATGCTAACCCTCAAAAAAATTATGCACTTCCCTAAACTTAACGCCCTTGGCTGTTACCTCGCAAATTTCATAGTTGTCGTTATCGTTATACTAAAGATTCTACTAAACCATTAGAGCACAAATGTCATTTGATTTAATTTGAATAAACTCCACATATGCACAATTATACAATTATGCATTGTCAGCATGGATTAACAAACCTTCGTACAAGCGTATGTACGTACGTACATGTTTCAATGTGAAAATTTAAAATCGTTGGGTCCATTTTTATTATATAGTTTTTTTTCTAGGTTAAAATTTAGGTGCAGTATTATTAGTACGTACGTATACGTACCGTATTTTTGGCCTAAATTAAGCTTAACTATGACCAAAATTCGAAATTACATTTAGTGTTCCGCAAAATGGATTCGAGATTCGGATTCGATTCGACGAATTCATTTCGAATCCCATAATTTACGCCTGAGAATCTGAATCTGATCCGTTTTATTACTAAAATCCACCATGCCTTTTGAAAGACCTAGTTACCGCACCAATTTGTCACGGCAGATTCTCGATTTTGATTGGCCCAATTTTGTCACGGCAGATTCTCGATTTTGATTGGCCCAATTTTGTCAGCAGATTCTCGATTTTGATTGGCTAACAGCCGTGATCTACAAAATTTTGGCCCGCATTACATAATTGTTTATATAATTTTTGGCCGGAATTACAGCTGTGATCATAATTTTTGAAACACGTTCCGGTTAAGTTATTATTTCGGCATAATAGATAATAAAATTACAAAATGTATGCAGTGTTATAAATTCAAAAAATTTTTATTGGCGCAAACGCAAAAAAAATATGCAAAAAAAAGAAATTTATACGCGCT